CCTGCCCAGGGACTGGTGCCCTTGGCCTTCAGCTAGCAGTCACGGGCCAGGGCAGGCTTCTCCATGACCCCTGGGGACAGGAGGGAGGGCAGCGCAGCTGCTGGGAACTCCGGGGACAGCTCATTCAACAAAGGATCTGACAGCAGCCTATGTGGCGAGAGCAGTGGGGGCAGGCGCTGAGTGCTAATGGGATGCCCACCTGGGGCTGACAGCCAGACAAGGTCTCGGTGAGCCTGGCAGAGGCTGAGACTCCTGCCGGGCCACAAGTGACACCTCACCTCCTCCAGGACTCAGGGTGACGATGTGACAAAGGCTGCTCCTTGGCAGTCCAGACCTTCCTCGCTTATCCAGGGAGGCTCTGGGGTGGAGGTGGGGTACATGTGGTAGGGAGGGAGCCAGAGAGCGCTGGGGGACCTGAGGGTCAGCCTGCGTCACAGCTCGTGCCGACTTCTCCACCCCCAGTGGCCGCTGGCTGCTATAAATATCACTCCTGTCTCTAGATGTTGCAGGAGGTGACCTAGAATTGTGGGCTGCAAGGCTTCCTAGATGCCACCCCCCTCCTGCTTGTCCATTTCCAACAGAGCCTGGCTGACCACAGTGCCCACCATGGCCTGAGAGTCCATGCCTGACTACAGACAGATCCTTTGCCCTTAATGGGAAAATCCAATATGGAGGGAGACAAGCTTAATTTCCCCCTCCACCTTCCCAAACCCACTGGGTCCCTGGAGGGCAAAACCCTGGCCAGTCCAAGAGATGGAAGAGACAAGACACTTGAGACCATTGGATGGCCTGAGCCCTGCTATTGCTCATGTGCCTGTAGCGGGTTCCTCCCTCAGGCTCTCTTCAGAGCCCAGGGGTGCCAGCGCCAGAGCCAGGTGTCCCCAGGAGCTACCGCCCCCACCTTTCCAAGCCCATAGTTCCTCCATGACTTTTGAGTTGACCTGATTTTACAAATTCATTATAAAATTTTTTCATTGTGCCACCTGGGACACACCCTACTTTGATGGGGCCCAATGACGGTTGGCAGTAGCTGCCCGGATGAGCCCTCGACAGCTTCACCCATATGCCCCCCGAGTGAGCTCCTCTGAAGATCTGGGGCAGGCTCAGGCCTCGAGCTCCAGGGCACGACTATCTTGGAAAGTGGACCTCAGAGCTGGAAGCTGAGGTCCCAACACACAGAGGTGGCCAGGATTGGTTTCCCTGCTCTCTGGAAATGGAGTGACAACCCTAGAGGGGACATAGGCTCTGAGAGCAGAAAAGGCTGGAGACGGCTCTGCAGGTGTGCCCTGAGTAGTGCAAACAGCACAGGTGTATCTTGGTTAAAATTAAATCCAGGCACACAGCCGTTCTCCACTCATTCTTCTAATAATAGGAGCCCCTACTGAGTATCAGGGGTGTGGAAGGTGGCAACGGATAAAACCCAGAGCGGAGCCAGTGAAAGAAGAAGGGCAGCTCCAATATAGCCTCAATGACAGGGGACAAGCCAGGTGCTGGATCTGAGCCTGGGGAACACAAGTTGTCACAAGTATGTGGCCCAGACTGATTCAGCAGGCAAGGGAGAAGGCGCAGGTCAGGCAGAACACCTGATCCCAGGAGGAACACTTTGAGAGTAGAGGCCCCGGGCTGGCTGTCCTGCTCAGAACCCAGCACAGTCCCCAAGAACTCTCAGTTCAGCTCAATCCTGACTGTAAGCAAGTGGAGATCTCCAGGAAGGGGAATGCTTCAAGTCAACCAACCAACTAGCCATCCATCCAACCTCCCTTCCATCCCATCTCTCTGCTTTTCCTCCTTCATTCCATGTATATCTCTGTCAGTCCATTCTCCCATCCATCCTCCTACCCATCTACCCATCTTCCCTTGCTTCCATCTCTCCATGCATCCTCCTAACCATCTGTCCATCCATTAACTCACCATAGTCCTTCCACAATGCTCACCACAACACCCTCCTTCTTAGGCTGGTTGCCTGCCCTGCAGGGCCTGACCCCGGCCTGCTTTCATCTCCTCCCATACCTCCTGCTCACCTCCCTCTCAGGCCCACAGGTCTCACCTCTTATCATCAAACAGGCCAAGTGTATGTTGTCTTGACCTCTTTGCCTTCCCATCTCCTCTTGCCTGGCCATAACTCACTCTACCTGTACTCTCAAGATCTTTGCATGACTGGTCTTCTTCTCACTCAGCTCCTAGCTTAGATGTCTCTCACCTGCCCAAACTGGGAAAGCTCTGGTTCTTCCCTGTCCCACAACTTGTATGTTTTGCAGCATTGTCCAATACTCTCTTGCTTTCTACTTGGCTGCCCTTACCAGGGCATGGCTCCCCAAGGCAGGGAACCCACACCCAGGAAAAGGCCTGGCAGGCAAGAGGAGCTCACCAAGTCTCCTGCTGCCTGGGAGGAGGAACCAGTTCTGAGGACGGCACCAGGAGACACACAAAGAGAACCAGCAGCAGCTTGTGTAGAACTGAGCCCAGGACCTAGGGCCCCTGACTCCTAGCCCCTGGTTCTTTCCACACCAGGCTGTCCCATGCCCAGGCTCCAGAGCTGGCTCCTGAGCTGCCTCTTATAGCAGCAGCCATGCATGGAATTCCCTGGTATCCAGTGGTCATGCTGTGGGCTAAGCAGGGAGGAAATGCGGCATCTTCATTTGATTGGGGAAGCAACTGTTGGGAAGGGGAGTTGGGTACTCTGTGTGCAGCGACACCGTAAACAGAACCTGTTGCCCATGGAGCTGGCTCAGACAAACCTAGCACCCCTCCACCTCTCACGGCAATCTCAGCATTCCCACCTCTCTGCATGGCTTGTGCTGTGCCAGGGGTAGTGTGCAGGATGAGGCCAGGGGCCTGGAGTCCTAGCCCAGTGGTGGGCTCTGAGGCCCACGGTTGGCTGTAAGCAAGAGACAGGAGGCCCCAGGGAGCCAGGTTTCCTTCTTGGAGGCTCAGGGCTTCACCTGGAAGATGCAGGGTTGACCAAGTGACTCACTTCCCTTGGCTTCTGCCACCTCATTCGCCATCTTTCCCACTCCAGTTATTTCTTTTTATTTGATAGGCAGAATTACAGGGCCTGGTGTGATTGCATAGTGGCTAAAGTCGTTGCCTTGCATGCCCCGGGATCTTATATGGGTGCCGGTTCTAATCCTGGCGACCCTGCTTCCCATCCAACTCCCTGCTTGTGGCCTGGGAAAGCAGTGCAGGATGGCCCAATCCCTTGGGACCCTGCACCTAAGTAGGAGACCCGGAGGAAGTTCTGGGTTCTTGGCTTCAGATTGGCTCAGATCCAGCTGGTGCGGTCACTTGGGGAGTGAACCACTGGATGGAAGATCATCTTCATTGTCTCTTCTCCTCTCTGTATATCTAACTTTCCAATAAAAATAAATTAAAAAAAAATTTTAAGGCAGGATTACAAAGAAAGAAGAGACAGAGATCTTCTATCTGCTGGTTCGCTGCCCACATGGCAGCAACTGCTGCCAGAGTTCGGCCAGTCTGGAACTTCTTCTGAATCTCCCATGGATGCAGGGCCCCAAGGACTAGGCTACCTTTGCCTGTCTTTCCAGGGTCAGTAACAGGGAGCTGGATCAGAAGTGGAGCAGCTGGGACTCAAACCAGTGCCCATCTGAGATGCTGGCACCACAGGCAGAGGCGTAACACACTATGCCATGATGCTAGCACCTCCCTATTCCCTTTTCTAAGGCCCTGCTGCCTCTGGCTCAGGAAAATGAGCCTGGGGGAGAAGTTAAGATGTGGTGCTGTGGCCCTTTCATCTGCTTTCCCCTGGACCCTGTCACCACTCTGGGATGCACATGGGCAGGAAATTAGCATGTTGTGGCCCAGGTTGTAAGGGTTCACCATACTAGAAGCCCGTTAGAGCTAAGGGCAAAATCTAACCCATCACTTAGGCTTGGTCTCCATGCATATGACAGAGATGGAGAAATCACGCAAGCAGAAGTGACAGTGGGTCCACCTGCCTTCCTTGACCTTGATTTGCTCTGTCAACTCCCACGGACATCAGAACAAGTGAGTGGTAATGGAGACCTCCAAAGACAGCAATAAGGAAAGCCCCATCCATACACCTCCTTGACGCAGACCCTATTCTAGACCATGCTGGGGCCCACCTCCTCAGACGGACACCTGCCAGACATGGAGGAGATGGGGGTGGGGAGTATCCTAGAGTTTCACAACTCTGAGAAAGACACAGGGCTAGCAGCTCTGTGTGTGTGTGTGTGTGGGGGGGGTGATTTCTGGTCCTGGAGGGCCCCTGGTACCCAGCCCTTCCATGATCATCAGCTCAGAGCCTATTAGCAGCCCTGCTGAGGCTTTTGCAGAATGCATGAGATCACGTCTGGGAAGCACTCCCAACGACTTGAAGGGAAAGGGCCAGAGGGAAAGGAGGTAGGATAGGATTAATTATGTATTGATGTGCTTATTTATTAGCACTTCTGGTGACTGCAGGGGCAGAGAGGGAAATGCATGGGACTCGGCCTCATGGGAGCCAGGCTGGAAACTGGGCCAGACCACGGAACAGGCATGGGCGCATCACAACCTCTCAGAGCCTTGATTCCCGGACAAATGGGACTTCCCTACCTGCTGAGTGGGCACTGCAAGGGCACCTGGCTGGCCACATTGCCCTCTGGGAAGAGGAAAGGCGGGGTTGGCGTAGAGCCACGTGTGAGCAGGACATAGCAGATACTGTTGCTGCTGCAGCTGGAGGAGCAGGATGGAGGGAGCTGTGCCCCGCTGGGTCAGGTGCCCTCTGACTCTCCCTGAAGTGGCAGGAGAGGGGGCCTGGCAGGCTTGGCTGCTTACATTACATGAGATGAGCACTCCCTGTGGTTTCCATCTGTCTTGCTTTCCAGCTGAGAAGGTATCGTGGGGTTAGCTAGGCTGCACACAGCCAGGAGCTGGAGGCTACCCTCCCTAGCCAGGCTACACCTCTGGCACATGCCAGGGTTCCCCAGGAGCTGGCCAAGCAGCAAGTGAGTGCCTGGGCACCCTCTGGCAGCTGTGCTCACCTGGGAGGGAAGCCTCTCTGCCAGTTGCTCTGGGTTCACAGAGCTCTTCGCCCACAGAGGCCACCAGGCAGTCTCTGGGTCACGGCCTGCTCATCTTCACAGCTGGCATGGCAGATCCTGAGAGGCACGGGCCCATGGCAGCAGGCTTCCTAAAGGCCATTAGGAAAAAAAAACAGGGCAGAGACACCAAGACCCCATGCCCTGAGATTCCCATCTTCACAGAACCAGAGCTGCTCTGGCCACAAGCTGCCCTGCAGGCAGCGAGGCACCTGGCTTGCTGCCTGGTTGGCACACCCTCCTCAGTCCCAGCTGTGGGAGAGAAAGGGCTCCGTCTTCCCAATGAAGCCAGACCCTTCCAGCCACTCACTGACAAACCTGTTCCTCCTTCCCAGTCCCCTGGCCTCCTGGAGCCACCTGTGATGAACTCAGGTGGCCCGGGGAGAAGACGCCGGAAGCCATCACACACCGGAGGGCAGGGCTTGCAGGTCTGGAGGCCACAGGAGTTGGAGTTCCTGGGACTGACTCATCTGAAAGGAGGGGTGAAGGGACGGTCACATAAGGGACTGGTGGAATAGAGGCAAGCTCTCCAGCCACTCAGAGGAGAGGTGGGGACCTGCACACAGCTGTGGCTGTGCCAGGAAGCCCAGAAAAGCAGGGAGCATCTGTGTCCTGGGCCTCCTGGCTAGGGCCATGTGCGTGTGCCTCTGCCCCCACCATACAAAAGCCCCATTGATACTGCTCCTCAGCCCCACATCCCAGGGCCAGTGCCCCAGTGACAAAGGTTCTGGGGTCCTCTTGTGCCCCTTTACTGATAGTCCAGCTGCTACAGCCACTGTTGCCCTGGAACGCCAGGCATGCCAGGCGCGGGCACTGCGGGGTCACAAGCTCTGCGTGGGTGAGGCCAGGCCCTACTAGGACAACGTCACACTCACAGGCCATGTGAGTCCTGTGGGAAAAGCTAGGATCCCAGAAGCTACCTTCCTGCCACCCTGGCACAGCCCCACCCTGCCCATCTTCCAAGTCCTTGGGCAAATAGGCATGTGTACAGGGCACAAGTGCAGTACTGTGAAAGACAAACAAGAGGCCTCACCCTGCTGGGCCACAGCCCTACAAGTCTCTACTCCCTTGGCCCTCCCAATGGCAGCTGCAGGTACACATGCCAGCACTTGGTTCCCCACATTTGGAGGGTCCCCAGGGTGGATGACTTGATCTCCCCTTCACCAACGTCCTGCTTGTAATGACAGGAAAGGATGGACAGGGCACAAGCCATCAGAGTAGGGTTTCAGGGACCACCGCAACCCCATGCTTCTCTGCTATGAATTACCCAGCTGGGGATGTGTTAGACAGGGCTAAGCTGACCTGGGCCAGGGGTCGCTGCTGGGTCACATCCTGTCTGGAAAACTCCAAGTCTTGGAACCTTGGGGCTGTGATACCCACCACACAGAACATTCAGGAAGGCTGAATGGTGGCACACTGGGAGTGTGGGAAAGTTTGCTCCACTGCCCTCTCACCCTCCACAGGGCATGGAGCCAACACCGGGCTCCTTGATGATCTAGTTGTCTGCCATAGCAAGGTAGCTCCCTTCAGCCCCCCAACTCAGCTTTTCCGAGAAAGGCCTGTGCTGCTGCTGGCTCCTGACCTGGGCTCCAGGCTGACTGCATTCTGGGAGCAGCCGGAGAGGACAGGGGCCTGTCTAACCCAGCCATGCTGCCCCTGCTGGCCACAGATGAGCAGACACTTTGCAAGTAGAACTCCCTCTGCCTCCGTGCCTTTGCGCAGGCTGTTCTCTTGGCACACAGCACCTTTCTCCAACTGTGCTCTCCAGGGAGCTTCTCCATGTTCTGAGAATTAGCCTGAACATCACCTGCTCCATGAAGTTGCCAGGGTCCGTCAAGCCCCTATGGCAGACCTGAGCAGGGGCCCCCTAGGCTCTGGCTTCCCCTAAGTTGGGCACTGCTGGAGGGCAGGGAAGGCAGCGCTCTGCAGCTCCGTGTCCTTGGCACCCAGCACGGTGCCTGCTGCCTAGCAGCTGCTCATGAAATGTCAGACAAGGCCCCGGCCCGGCTCCCTTGCACCGCTCCGATCACGCTGCCAGCACATTTGGCCAGAGAGACTTGGAGGCGGCATGTGGGAACTGGGGCAAAACTGCATGTCCCTGACACAGTGGGCGGGGCGCGAGGGATCCTGTTTATGTGCTGCATGCACGGGCTTCACCCACTACCAGGGACAGCTCTGAGGGGCTCGCACGCTGCCTCCCTGGCTCCAAAAGCAGAAACCAAAGTTAACAGGGGGCGAGCAAAGAGAAGGAAAGTGCACCGGAACTGCAGGGGGAAAGGCAGTTGTGGCTGCCATCTGCTGCAAGCAAGATGTTTGGAGAACATGAGCTCCTCACTCGGAGGCCCCCCAGCCATCTTGGGAAGGCTGGGCCGCCCCTCTGCAGATGGGATCTGGGGGCTCAGCCAAGCCCACACAGAGGCCCACCAGCCCTTCTTCAGGCATACCCTGACCCTCTGGCTGCCCTTGTCTAACTTGCTGAGTCTGTGGAGACCAGCCCAGGACACCAGCTGTGCTGCCTCTTCCAGGGAGTACCTCGGACTCTGGGGAGCTAACTCCCCCTAATTCTGAGCACGACAACCTGAACAGAAGGCTTATGTGGGTGCTGACACCAGCTATGGCTTCCTGAGAGCCCAGTTACCTGCCAGAAACCTCGAGAACTTCCAGCAGGAAACCAAAGGAGCAAGTAGAGGACCAGCCTTGCCTGCTCCTCATCACACAGGCACCCCATTACCCAGGCACCCTTTCAAGGTGCCTGGGGCCCTTCCATGTTGGCCAAAGCCAATTGGTATAAAACCTGTAAGCCACAGAGTCCCGCACGTTCACGTGAGGGTCAAGGATATGGAGACCCAGGCTGACGGAAAAACCAAGTACCCTATCTTGCAGCCCAGGTTCCCAGGGCCCTGGCACAATCCTGGGCAGGGCCGGCTGTGTCCTGCCTTCAGCACCAGCCAGTCTGCCACTTGGGGATTCTGCCCCCAAGCTCTCAAGAGAGCCATCTTTAAGAGGGCTCAGAAGGTGCAGGCCCTAGCAGGCAGGCAGGCAGGCAGGCAGGCAGACAGACCCACCCCATTCTGGGTGGGGCCTTCTCTGCAGCCCACCTGTTCTAGCCACAGCCAGCTCAGCCTTGGAGCCCTTGACCACAGCAGCAGGCCAAGCTGAAAGCCCTGCAGGGCAAGTCCTGCCTTCCTGGGCTCAGAAGGCTAGGCAGGGCAGGGCTGGGCAAGGCAGGGCTGGGCCTGCTGGCCACATTCCTTCCCCAGGCCACCCTACCCAGTGTCTGCCCACAGAGAAATCAGAATAACAAATGGACTAGACACGCTTGCGGGCAGTGTGACACCCTGCTCAGCACAATCCTGCAGCTGTCCCAGGTCACCTGGCCAACAGAGTCCTCCTTCACCCATGCCAGGAGGGCAGGTAGGGATGAGAAACCCACCTAATACGGCCAGACCAAGCTAGGATTCCTGATGCTACCATGTGCCCTTAGCCTTGGCAGCTGGGTTTTGAATGGTGCAGTGCCCTACTATCCCAGGGCAGGGAGGCGGGGACTATTCCCCATCCCCACCCCCTATAATGGGAGGGGGGCGAGAATAGGAAAGCAGGCACTTAGGGACCAATGCCTCAGAATTGTACCCCCTCCCCATCCCAGCCCCCCAGCTCACCCCACGCAGCCCTGCTGCCTCCACCCCCACAGGCCTGCTTGCAAGCCGAACACTCCATGGCGCTGTCTGCTTGGTCCTCCCCAGCCCCCCATACCCGTAATTGCGACACCTCCGTCCCACTGACTGTGCCTGCTGCTGCCTGCTTGGGGGAGGGCCCAAAGACGCGCTCCAGGGCATCATCTGTGGAGCTGCTGGCAGGCTCCTGCGTGGGTTTTTGCCTGTGGGGAGAGCCTGCAGCTTCCCCCTTCCTCCCAGGAGTCCAGGATTCTAGCTGGGTCACTGTGCTGACCTGTGTGCTGACACTGTGGCTGCCCTTGTGTGTGCAGTGTCTCTCCCCTGGGGAGGGATCAACAGCTCCCCCTATTCCTTCTCTTGGCTCTCAGGGCAAGAGTAGGGGTGGTGAGGTAGGGTGGGTCATTCCTGGGGTTTCTTCCTGCAAGGGGAAGTAGGAGTGGTGTGCTTGCTGTAGAGTAGGGGGAAAGGCAACCCTAGGAGGGGGAGTGTATGAGGGTCATGCCTGCAGCAAGCCTGAGGCCAGCAGTGCCAGGGCAGGGAGGAGGCCTGGTCTCCAGCACAGGTACCCCCATGTGAATTGCTGTCACTCCCCAGACACCCTCACAGATCCTGCCTCAGCAGAGGCATAGCCAGGCCCAGGCTGAGTCAGCCAGGGAAATCCCAGCAGCAGCACCCACCGCTGCTGATGGTTCCGCTGACACCTACGGAGGGGGTGCCAGCCCCTCCTGTAGAGGGCGAGAGAAACACCCAGGCTCCCTCACCCTCACTTCCTTCTCACTGAGAGGGGTGCTGTGGGGGCAGGGAGGACTTGCAGTAGCACAAACCCTGCCAGGGAGGCCCTCTTCTGGGTGCATGAGTAGGGAACAAGGAGGGAGGATGGCCCCGTGCCCTGCCAGCTCCTGCCTGGTGCATGGCACCGCAGGTGTGGGCCTCCTGCTTGCCAGGGCCTTGGGAACCCCAAGGTCTGCCTGAGCTCAGCACCCTGTCTCCTTGCTGTACCCCCCAGGCACCTGCACAGCATACACATACACACAGGTGGGGACAAAGAGAACAGCAAGTTCACCAGAGAACTGGGCTGCCCACAACAGGAGAGAAGGACAGGTAGAAGGCTCTCCACAGCAGGACAGGCTGTCCCCTGAGAGACACATAAGCTGGGTCTCCACCGACCGGCCAGACCGGTTGGTGGGTGGTGTTAGCAGAGGGCCTCCTTGTTGCCAGCTGCCCCACGGTGCAGGAGAGGGGCTACAGCTGACTGCTGCCTTTTGTGGCTGTGGCTGGAGGGAGTGTTTCCCCTCTCTGGTTGTTCCATTCCCTTCTTCCCTGACACCTGCCCAGAGAAGGCCACTTTCCAAGAGAGGGGGATGTGTGCACACATGTCCGGTGCCTTGAGTGGTATAAAGACTGGGACAAGGGGAGTGGATCCGTGGCCTGGGAGCTGGCAGGCAGCGTCAGGTGCACTCAGCAGGACATGAGAAGGAGCTTCATGAGATCACATGACTGTGATCGTCAATGAACTCATGGCACAGAATAACACACAGACCCCAGGACAGGCCTGTGCAGGGCTGTAGTGTTGGGGACTCCAGGATGAGGGGAGTGGTCCACTGGGCAGCCCCAGGCAGACAGAGGGGCTGACTGCTGAGAGCAGAAACGGGGAATGCAAGGCTCCCCTGCTCTCCTCTCCCCACCCCTCCTGTCCTATACACAAAAGCTCTTGGAGCCCCAGCCAGGCAAGCAGGTTGCCCCTTGTGCAGGGCTGGCCTGCAGCCAGCAGAGTCTGCCTGTGCAGGCCCCGTGCTGGGCACCACCACGAGCTCCCTATGCCAGTCTTGGGTG